ACTTCTAACTAATTAATCACGCAGCGTAAAATTTCCTCGTTCAAACTTCGAAATTTGACTTTCTCGTCGGTACCTGACACACCATTCATATGCAGGAATTCAACATTGATGATTAATATCTTCATGCACAACGCTGTGGTGATACAATATTCGAATAATGTTTGGTAGAGCCAGAGATCCCAGCTCCTACAATTCAGTGCTTTTTAAGGCTCGCGGCAGCCATAGCATGTATTTCTGAATTAATTTCACTGCATCTTTTCTGTTTAAATTTTAGTGCCCGCGGCTCAACAGCATCCCAGATTTACGACAGACTTCGCAATTTAAAGCCCAAAACCCCTTTAAAATACCACAAATTGCTGTCGCAGAAAACTTCGGTGCGGCCTGTTTATTAGGCAGACTACGCCAAACACAGCAATGCCCAGAAGTGCAAACAAATAACATTTAACGAACGATTCTCACCAAATAAAGGCCTTGGCGCAGCTGCTTTATGGTCAATAAAAAGCTAAAACGACCAAATTTACGCAGCTAACGCCAAACAAAAATCGAAATATAAGCTCACGAACTTAGTGTCTTCAAATTCTTGACCTAGTCTAAAGTCAATGTAGGTATTTCATGACGCAATATAAGAGATTGCTTTCTTGTAACTCAATGTTTCATTCCAACTTAACGCTTAACCTCCAAAAGCAGCTACAATAAGGTACTTTGAAGAAAACATCTATGCCGAAACATCTTTAATTAATTATTGACTGTCAATTGATGCATAACACATTGTGTAGTACATCATAGCAGTATCATCATTATTATTATTTTAGGTTATTTTTTTTCCTGGTAATGATATTTATATTATACCCAATAGATAAAAGAGTGGGGGTGGCATTAGAGTGATTATCATCATTCCATTTTTATCATTCCATTTAGTTTCGACTGAAAGCTAACCCATCATCATTCAAGCTTTCAGGGCCAACTCCAGCTATACGGAACACGTTGATCCAATTATATGAACTTTTACCCAGCGCATAAGGCATTAATTACTCAAGCGAGGATTTACCTACCAATGTATGCTTAATTCTCACATCGCTCATTCATATGATTCGTTCCATATAGGGGAAAAATTCAACAAATTACCGTCCAAAACAGAAACTAAAATCATACCAAATAACAAAAAAATGCGCGAAGCTCAGCGTAACATTAGAAACACTCTTTCGCACAGAACAATAAAAATATAATAAGTCTCTATAATAAGTGTCAATAATAAGTGTCTCTGATTATAATAAGAGTAGTAAACACATAAGAGATAACTGAAAACGAACAACTTATTACAATAGACTTCTTAAGAGTTGAGTTCACAATATCCACACATTGAGTGTGGCTCGGCAGCGCTTACTTTTGAAGCGCGCGCGTGCAGTTCTCCAGGCCGATCATAACTCGCATGGCGACCGCCATAACGGCCGCTAAAATGCGCTCTCACAGCCCATTATTTAGGCGGCTATGGCAAATCCAGGCCTTGAAGCTACAATGCAGCTGCACAAACACACACAAAATCTTATAATTCTTTGGGATTTTCATCTGTCAATGATGTGTCTTACATGGCGGTTGTTGCATGGCGTGGTGGTGTTGCGATATAAGCGTTTCATATAGGCTTTTTAAACGATGAAATACCATCTCTGAGAAAATACTTCATGGTGTTGATGGTCACTTTATTTGTATATTTTTCAATTATCATACACTTTTTTAGAAATAATTCCCACAAGAGAAATGCTGACATACAGTGGGGGGAAATAAATATTCGTACACTTGAAAAATCGTATTTTAATGTATGTAAGTAAACAAACTTAACAGGAAAAGTGATTTAAATTATGTATAGAGACGCATAGTATTCAAAAATACTATCAAAAGAAATTGAATCTCAATGCAACAAAAAACAATGCAACATGTTCACTTTTCGGGTGAAAAAGCATTCGTACAAACATTAATCCGCATTATTTTAATTTAATACTTGGTTGAATACCCTTTATTCAGCTCAACAGATACCAGTCTATTTCTATACGTCTCGACCAATGATTTGCAGATGTCAACCAAGTATTAAATTAAAATAATGCGGATTTATTGTTTTGTACGAATACTTTTTTCACCCGAAAAGTGAACATGTTGCATTGTTTTTTGTTGCATTGAGATTTAATTTCTTTTGATAGTATTTTTGAATACTATGCGTCTCTATACATAATTTAAATCACTTTTCCTGTTAAGTTTGTGTACTTACATACATTGAAATAAGATTTTTCAAGTGTACGAATAAATATTTCCCCCCACTGTAAATTCAACGTTTAGTCCTAGTGATAAGATCTGTAATCTTCCCAGAGTTTACACATTTTTTATTTGTTTCCGCGACAATCAAGTACACTTTTAGCGTCCTTTAAAACTTGTATATCCTTAGATATTGCGAGTTAAGGCGCCTAATGGAAGGATAACTGTGTGAGATAGAACTCGCTCAACATAAACATCTCATAAAACATAAAGATCGATAACTGTTTAGCTACGAATTCAAAAAAAAATTTAATATGTCGGCATATGTTTTCCGCTTGACGTTAAGGTGTAGCTTCTTTAGCATATTGATCTACCCTCCGGGAATAAGATGGTAAGAGATATTTTTCAACTACAGCTGAAATTTTTTCAGTATTCGTTAAGATTGAACACCTGCCTAGTTCTTATTGGCAACATATCGTGATCTACACAGCAGATATTTGCATATTTCCGCATGAATGTCTTGGCAAATGGACAGCTCCGTCTACGTTTTAAGCTAGCCATTTTCTGCCTAATTTTTCAGGGATGAAATATCAGGCAACTCGACTTTGCTATAATATTTTGTGAGTCCGTTTAGCTATACTCTCGTAACATTCAAAACTTATTGTTAGAAATTGAGGCCTTACATCTCAAAATATTTTAATGGCACTTCCGACATTTTTCATCAATAATAAAAGGCCTTTTATGAAATTATGTTATTTTCACTTGAGTGCCTCAAGTGAAAATAATGAAAACTATATAGAATGGTTGTAATAAAGTGAAAGAGCAGTTCTTCAATATGCAACACCTTGTGAATTCACCAGGAATTTAAAAGCAAAGAAAACAGCCAGAATATTAACCATTTCTTAAGAATGAAAACGTTTCGGAGTCCAGCTCCATCGTCAGTTCAAAAGTTCAAAACCTATAAGAAAATCAGAATCAATTAGAAAACTAAATTCACATCGAAGACACATTTTCATTCTTAAGAAATGGTTAATATTCTGGCTGTTTTCTTTGCTTTTAAATTCCTGGTAAACTTGCGACTTAAGCAATCTAGTGATTTTTGCGCTTGTGAATTCAATGTCAGGAATTGAACTGAATATCAATAAATTATTTTAAACCGAGCGTTACTGCCGTCTAACTAACTAATTGCTCATAAAATCTGGTCTATAATCAACCTGGCACGGACTGAAGCATTCCTAGGAGTGAAAATTATTGAATATGTTTAAAAAAGTTGCCTTCATATTCTACTAAACTTAAAGAACAATGTACGGCCGAACAGATGCTGGACAAACATTGAAGATGTTCTGAAGTACGGCAGTTTGACAAATAAGAGACGATCCTGGACTATTTATTGTGGATTGCATGCCCAAGAACTTGACATTATAAAATTCCTCAATGTTGCGGCCTGAATTCTTCTTCAGGCCGCAACATTGTTAATAATATCTTCAGAGGGTACGAATGTATTCCTGACAACAAATGTCACGATTAATGTACTTCAGATGTTATGTCAGATCAGTTTGACATAAGGAAGAACCTTCAAAACTGAGCAAATGATTTTAAAAGTTAATTTTCATATATGCACTCAATGAATGAGAACATTTTTGCTATGATGAAAACTTGCAAGGGCTATAAGCAAAATGTATGTCATCGCATCAGAAATCAATTATTAGGCAATATAAAAAATAATATGTATATAAAAATTCTTTATTGAGATGACTTGTGCATGAGATTATTGATGCAGGACGAGTAGTATGCTAGGGCAGCTAGAACTGGGCACCCGCCAGCAGCTCGTGGTGCCAGTCAGTTGGCAACAGCATGCGCTGCTGCAGCAGCAGCAGTACACTCTCGCCCCTTGCTTGCTTTCAAACTCTAGAGAGCAAAGCCCGTGAAACAGAACAACAATGCCTGCTTAAAAGCCGAATCAAATACCGTTTGTTTACTGCTGAGATTTTAATCTGATTTTCGCTGTGGCGGTGCTACTGAACAATGCTTCTTCTGAATTGAGCGTAATTTTTCAAACAGTAATTCTCGTTATAAGAATGGTTGATTTTACATCATGAGAATAATATAATTACCGGAATATACCGATCCATTAATACGCGTTCCACAGAGTAGTGTCAAAGAGTGGACTGCTAACATTACAGCAACGTTGCCGAGTTTACTCTATAGAACTACGCTTATTTCCTACGAGTGCTATGCGCTGCGTGAGATGACAAAGATACGCGCAACAAACGCTCCTAGTGCTGTGTTTTGTGAGATAATGAATGAAATGATGATGAAAAATATTCAACTCGTTAAATACTTGCAGTTGTCTCTCTGAAGTTGAAGCCATGGTGATTTATCCTGATTGAATTAGATTTATCTCATGAAAGTCACGAAAATGTGTTTGCCACGAGTTTACACCGAATTACCTAAGAACTCTGCCTTCAGAAACTTGAAAATACCCAATGCATATCCAAGAAAACCTTATATTTTTGTTGCACTTTGTCACTTAAACCATCCCACTTATAAATTTTTTCCGGCATCTGTCTAATGTACTAATACATTTTTCTGTCATTAATGATGTTGTGTTGTATGGATGTTTACCAACTTCACACATACACATTTTTAACGGCAGTGTTTGAGTTTTAACTTAAAACTTACATTTTGAACTTTGAACCAAAGATAAGCAACAGTGTGCAACATTTTTACAATTAATTTTGCACTGTCGATTTTTCAGAATTATTGATTATTAAGCACATACAAACTCTTTCAGGATATCTAAATTTTGCGAGCAGCACCACAATGTGAATCGAAATATCCAAGAACTCACTACTAGGTGAAATCCATTATCAATCTACAAATGATAATATCTTTGAAAATATGCTAACAGATGTATCACTCATTTAACGTAATACAATATAACCAATCCTCAGTATTTCAAATATTCACGTATTAACTCACAACCTGTAACGCACAACTCTCTGTAGCAGAAAACATCTATTTCTTCTCGTTATGAACATACATAGGATAAAATAGAACGTTAACTAATAAGTGAGACGGAATAGTGCGGACAAAAATGCGGGATTATTGGGGCTACCGTGCAAGGGAGCAGCGGAACAAGAAAATATCTCTGAAGAAAGGTGAAGTTGTGCTCACGTCGGAACCTTTCGCTTACGTTATTGAGAACGACCGGCGAGGACAATATTGCGAGTCCTGCCTCGTCTCCAACAGGTGAGTGCTGTGATGCATGTCTTCTTCCTTGCCGGATCACACAGATTAACGCTGTAAAACAAGAAACCTTCCCTGCCCTATCTTACAGATTAACACTGTAAAACGTGCTTCCTTTATACTTGCCGTATCTTACAGATTAACACTGTAAAACGTGCTTCCTTCCTTGCCGTATCCTACAAATTAACGGTGTAAAATCAAGCTTCCTTGCTCGCCATATTCTACAGGTGAGTGCTGTAAATCATGCCTTCATATCAACGCTGTAAAATATACGTTCTCCCCAACCGTATCCTACATGTCAACGCCGTAAAATATACCTTCTCCCTAACCATATCCTACATATCAACGCTGCAAAACATACTTTCCTTTTTGCCACATCCAACATTTGAGCTTTAAAGAAGCAACATAAAAAACACCTTGTGATCAATAGGTACTTAGTTATTTAATTTAGAAAGTAAAACTGCTCTCACCTTTATTTTTTCAGATCAAGATATTACGCAGACAATAAATGGTAATAACTCGGTGCACATTTTGTGTCTTGTAATCATCCAGTCATTTGTACTCGAAAAGAATAATGAGAGTATAAAAGAAACACACAATGCCGAATTAATGGTTATTTACGAATCAGTGAAAGACTTGGCATCGCGAGTCAGATAACAATTTAGGCATCGCCTAACGAGCTCCTCTGTCTTGCGCCTTCGAATTTACGACGCTCGCAAGAATCTCGTACAATTGCCAGAGCGTTGAAAAACACACACTATTGAAATTCTTGGCCGAATGATACGTGGCCAAAGCCGGTGATTGTGTAGCCATCAATATGATCCTCCAGTCGGCTTTTCGCATCGGCGATAAATTGATGAGCTTTGTTTTAATCTGAATTCCTTTGATCCTGACTGAACGATTTCGTTGCCTCATTATCACTGAGCTTGGATTACGAATCGTTCGTTTTCTAGATTACTTGATGATGAAATTTTAAATTCGCGAATTGCCGGAAAGATTATAATTATCCGTTCAGTTGCTTCGGAAAGACTGATAGATAACGGCAGCATAATATCCTTTTCTTAATTGAGATAGATATTACAGAATGCATCAATAGAATATTATTAAGAGTAATATTAAATAATAAAAGTTGTTACAAATGGATTATTGTTGAAAGCATTAAACGTAATATTACTGAAACCATTTTTTAACCAAGGAACATCAGAGTTGTTTCGAACAAAAATTTACAAAATACAAAAATGAGTGCCAAAATACATTATTGGGTGAGATAAGCTACAGCTCTATAACTGTAATGTGTCTTGTCTTCAGCTTAATTAAACTTTGAGAGTTCTGAAGCTGAAATCCCTAACGGTACCGACAAGATTATTCTGCTGTTCTTTGAAGTGATAAATTAATGTGTATAAATTATTGGAACAAATGGATTCATATTGATCATAAAAGAAAAAAATTGCAGTTATTTCAGAAATGATAAATTCTTTCATTTGGAATTTGAACGTTTTTCCATCACTTGCGATACAAAAGCATTTTATTTAAATAGTAAAAATTACTTTGTGCTCTGAACTACTCACTGTCATTTCTTTCATATGAAAAACCTTAACTTCCATTTATCATAACCGGCTTAAATTTTAAAAAAGACGGAGTGATAATTTAACGTTTTTTTGCAGCTTCAACCAGCAAAAGCATGTAAATTTTTTAATATGGCGTTGCCCAAAAGTCTTCGTAACTTAGTATAACTCGACGATTTAATATAAGGGGCTTTCAAAGCAGAAAAAATTGCCGCCTGCCAGTGCTTTATCATATCCACAAAATAAATAAAATTTTTACTCATAATAATTTTGAATTAACAAAATACAAACCTCCATTAAATATTGTAATTAAATTTACTCGAATATATATCTATTCACATAATATATAAACTTGCAGTTCATACAGTGCATTCGGCACGCTAAAAACTCAGTGGTCATAACACTGGACTGACTGTTATATTTAGTGTGTTAATTGGGTTAACATTACGTACATTACGTACATTATTTGAGTGAACATTACGTACATTCATTGGGCTAAAATTACGTATTTTTTACAAAATTAACAATTTTTTACAAAATTAAAAGCCCCACACATTAGCCTGTGTGGGGCTTGGACTGCTATATTCTCTGTGTAAGTCATTAGGGTGAAAGACTCATGTTCTGAACCGCAAAACATTGCAGCGTTCAGTGTTCGTGTGAGCCCCTGCTCAGCGAGGTGATGTCTTTAAGGTGTTAAAAAGTTGACACCAATAAACCTGGTCGTGCGACACAACACAAGCTGGTGTGCGAGAGTTCAACCTGCGGAGCTACAGGGGGAAGGGTGATCCCCCCAAGTTACAAGTAGAGCATAACAATTTAATTGTGAGCAAGTTTCTATAGTAAAATGTAAAACTTAAAACGCAGCTAATTTTGATATTCATCTAATTTTTTTACGCTTAAAATATTTAATTATCATTTAGTATATTAGCCATAAAATGGTTGGTGTAAGTAATTTCGATAACTGATGGATAATGTTTTAGCAAAAAATAAGAGGAAGGGAAGAAATTATCTTTTTAATGGATAAGAAACTGAAGAAACTTCAAAAAGTTTATGATTATAAATAACTACTAGTCTACTAAATTGCCATAGAGGTAAATATTGATTAAAAAATCGCATGCTTGTGGCGAATCTGCAATAGAAGCATCTCTTGAGTGACTGCATGCCTCAGTGGGCAATAAATCTGTCACTCTAACATCTTCCGCGTGCAAACACTCGTGACAGGAACTGCAATGCAGGTCAGACTGCAAAAAAAAAACTATCCTAATCCCGCGAACAATTTTTGTCTTGGGATATGAGATAAGGGTAGTACAGGGTGCTATTTGAGCAGAATTTCACGTACATAAGAGCATCTCAACTCGTGAATGCGTGTGCAATGTGTGGAAGTTCAACTCGACCAATAAAATTTATAGTGGCCCGTGTGCCAACATTCACGCTACGGTCACACACGATAATGCACACAGAGAAATAACTGAGCTTTTGTTCAAATAACGATGTACTTTTGCCCATATGTGTGCCATCCTGATCCAGTTTGTCCCAGAAACAGGACGTGTCAGTGCTACACTCAGCAAGTTCGTCACTATTTGGACAATTTGACCCATCCATTTTTCTAAGTGTTTGCACAGAATCGCACCACTTTCCCCTGAAAGTCTTGGCGCCAACGGAACAACAATGTGTGCTGGTAATGCTATACTCGATGCTGCTTCAGATACCTCCGAGCGTCTCGTCGTAATAGAATGAACAGCTTGCTAGTATCCGAGTCGTGGTCGAAGGTGGTGCAGTGTTCGTTTCATACCGCTGTTGAACTGTAGAAAAATGGCGATCAGGAGTGAGCTGACATTTTGTGTGTAAAAGCTATTCCATTTTTGCAAAGCTGAAGAAAATTGTGAAAAAATAACAAAGGATCAGTTTCCGGTCTAAAGAAGTCTAAAGAGGTCTAAATCAGTTTCCTGTAATAAAAATTGCAATATGCCCTTCCTTCGCACAGAAGCAGTAATATATTTTTTAATATTTCCAAATAAAAGTCATTTCGTTTGATCATTAAACTGTACATAATAATTTGGCTTGTGTTGAGCTGTCTTCTTCTGCTTGAATAAAGAAATAAGTGAAATTTTCAAGGCCTTTTCAAGAGGTCACTTGACATTCGAGTGGCTGCGTGCCAGCAAGACGCTTAGGAGCCTCAGGAATGAATCATTGACAAACATTTTGTGTATAACTGATTTAGAAGCTGTGCGCAAAATGTTGATTTGTTGTACGAAATTTTAGACGATTTGTACACTTTTTTCCTGAACTTTGAAGTTATAAATAAAATTTTGATGAGTTGTACGAAATTTTAGATGATTTGTACACATTTTGTGTTCAACCTAGAAGTTGTACATGAAACGTTGATTTGTTGTACGAAATTTTAGATGATTTGTACACGCGTGTTGCGTACAACTTAGAAGCTGTACACAAAATGTTGATGAGTTGCTCAAAAATTTTAGATGATAACTAAATGTGTACAATTCATCAATTGTTTTTGAATACTGAAAAATTAAGTGAAAAATAAAGTCCATGTATATTAAGTAATTAAGTATAAGTTCATGAATATTGAAAGTAAGTAATTAATATACATGCAAAATTATTAATTTATATTAACGTTTAGTTCTATTGTGAAGCTTTTCTTAACTTAACTAACAAAAAATTATTATCTTCTGAACACAGTAACAGAAAAAATGCAGAAATCTGTCAACAGTAAATGTAAAAATTATCGATTGTTTATTTCGTTAAAAATACAATGCATCCTCGGCATATATCTTTTAAACATTTGTAATTGAATTTTTGAGGAATTGAAAGAAGCAGGAAAAACAATAATTGGGGGAAAATACAAACATTGTCACACATATTGTTTGCAAATTTGAGATCAACGGCGCAAGTTTTTTGTTATAAGAAGAATACTATACGACGTTTGCTACGATGTACTGCTTATTAATAATGGGATAGAATGAGTTTATGGCAGCCAAATTCATAGAACATATGAAGATTGAAACTGTTTCTGACTTTACACAATTCAGGATTTTTACAAGTTATATTGTTCATTATGGAAAAAATAAATCATTGTATGAAACTTTTTACCTTTTTGGTTTATATCAATTAACGGTCAGAATAATTTCGATAAGGTTACAGAAATTTCCATTCTTCGCGTGCTAATCAAGTATACGAACTAGAACGCATACAATTATACGTATGTTAGATCAATATATATCTAATATACATAAAAAACGTACATTAGATAAAAATACTTATCGATTTCTAGAATTTATAAAAGAAATTCAGGCACAAAAATGCCAGATTTCGTGAGCTTCAAGGCGCGGGAGCTGACTGGGCGACGGCCGCTCAAGAAGGGCGATGTTATTCTCACCTCAACGCCCTTCGCTTATACAATTTCCAGGAGCAGACGCG